ATACCCACCGGTTCTACGATCCTCGTTACCGGGGCCAATGGATTCATCGCATCACATGTAGCCGATCAATTCATCAAGAATGGCTACAAAGTTCGCGGTACTGTTCGCGACATCGAGAAGAGCAACTGGCTTAATGCCTACTTTGATAAGACTTATGGCAAGGGCCACTTTGAACTGGTCTCAGTTCCAGATATGCTTGCAGAAAACGCTTATGACGAAGTCGTGAAAGGTAGTATTTGAGTGCCTACTGTTAGGTGGATGAGCACTGTGTTAATATGCTGTTACCTGCCAGGTGTCTCGGCCTTCATTCATACGGCATCCATAGTCAGCTTCGACCCTGACCCAAACAACGTTATTCCGACCGCGAAAGAGAGCGCCTTGGTTGCCCTCAAGGCTTCATACAGGGAGTCGAGCGTAAAGCGCTTCGTGCTCACTTCATCATCATCAACGACATTGGCCGCGAACCCTGAAACTTTTATGAAGATGAAGGGAGCGGTTGTGACCGAAGACACCTGGAGTTCTGACGCGAAAGAATTGGCCTGGACGCCGGGCCCGTGGGGTCCTGAGCATGGCGCTTTCGTCTATGTTGCTAGTAAGGTTGAGCAGGAGCAAGCCGTTTGGAAGTATCACGAAGAGAAGAAGTCCAAACGCCCTGACCTTGTTGTCAATTCTGGTAAGAAAAGCTTGCATTGTGAGCTCCTATGCATTTCGGTCTCGGATATTAACCACCATACTAGTCCTGCCCAGCATGAACTTGGGAAAGAGTCTTGATGTTGTAAATCAGGGACACAGGTCTACTTCAGGTTTCATCATGCCTTTCCTCCAGGGACAGAGAATGCCTCCTCACTTTAGCCACCCCCGTAAGTGATGAAAGGGAACGCTGGACAGCCGGCGCTTTATGGCTAATTTTGTGCTAGAATACTTCATTGATGTAAAGGACGACGCTATCCTGCACGTGGCTGCCGCTATTCTGCCCGACGTCAAAAGCGAGCGCATCTTTGGTTTCGCCGAGTCGTTCTGCTGGGATGATGTCCTCAAGATCTTGCGCAAGCTGCACCCGGGCAAGAACATCCACGAAAACTTTGCCAGCGAACCTTTCCCAGTTATCATCAAGCCCGTCGACCGCGCCGAGGCACTGTTGAAGAGGCTGGGACAGCCTGGATGGACTTCTCTGGAGGACAGCTTGCGGATGAACACAGAGGACCTCAAAGCTGAAATTTCTGCCTGAAAACAGAGCTTGTATGGGTTTCGATATTTGGATGTGGACGTCAAGGGTTGGTAACTTGAAATCGAAGAATTCACGTTTGAATAGACAGTCTGAGGCTGAAATCTCACATTGATATCAACCAATAGTTACTCGTCAGCCTACAGGTCGCAGTTCAGCTGCGCACTCTAAAGCATCCAGCATCACAAACTTACCCCTCATGTGCGCCGACTGCTGCCTAGACTCGGGGGATTTGTAGCCAAGCTGCAAATTCGATCAAATTGGATTTCTTCTGGCCAGCATTGACATCAAGATCTTCCTGATACTAACATGTATTGTTTTAGTTTCCTATCGTAGGCTCAGAAACAGTACCGAGAGTGGCCGACTGACTTAAAACCACAACATACCGGGGCAGACATGGATCCATGTAAGATTTGCCGATATTTTATTGAGTATACAGCCCGTTTGAAGTCTCCTTTCAAGTTTCAAACACCATGGCTCGTCTGGGAGCAACAAACCAACGAACTCTACGTTTCTAAAAAAGACTGCCCGTTGTGCGCGGCTCTTTGGGAGTTTCCGATTGAACATAGTCTGAACCAGGCTAGAGAGCGTTTCAAACACGTCACAACCGAAAGCTCACATCCCATTTCTCTGAAAGTACTAAGGGTAAACAACACCGATGGGGTTCTTTGGGCAAACCTTGAGATTGCATTGGAGATCTCACGAGACAGTTTTGTGTATCTTTCAGAGGCATCAATAGGCATCTCGTCACAGGATTCAGATGAGGGTAAATCTCCGCCCAGTCCTCGTTTCTAGACTAATACGACAGAAAGCTTCACACTCATGTACTGACGACTGGCGACTAACTTCTGCCCGTAGCAAACCAGCATCCTTCTTTTTGGACATCAGGTCGAACATATCCACATCGGACTTTGGCAGAAGACAGAACATTATGCGCGAGGACTTGGTTGAATACTTGTGAGAGCACGCACGGTAGCTACTGTCAACCACGCAAGGGAGAATTACCAAAACGTTTTATCGATACGATACCAGGTCAGCCTTTACGCCTAGTGCATACTAGTCAGCAACTCTCCGGTTCTGTGCGTTATGCAACATTGAGCTATTGCTGGGGAGTCTCGATTCCGTTAAGAACTACCAAAGTCACGGACGAACACTTTAGCGTTTCTATACCCGAGAACCTTCTTCCCAGAACTTTCCGACACGCAATAAAATTTGTCCGCTCATTGGGTATTCGCTATCTTTGGATCGACTCTCTGTGTATAATACAAGACGACCAGGCAGAGTGGGAGTCGGAGGCATCTCGAATGGGGGATTTCTACGCTGGAAGCCTCATCACCATAGCAGCAAGCGACGCGTGGGATAGCGAAGGAGGCTGTTTCCCAGGCGAAGACGATAGCATGGAGGCGGTCATAGATGACAAAGGCTCAAGTCAAGAAGACAATACCAGCCCTGAGGATTTAGCAGAAGCTAAGGCAGATCATACTGTCCGGACGTTCGTCTATAAGGAAGAAAACGGCTATTCCCAAAAGTTCTGCACTAGGATGATCCGTTTTCAATCTCTCGACCCCCGCGAAATTTCACGCCAGGCACATCTCAGCACACGTGGATGGGCCCTTCAGGAACGAATCTTATCCCCGAGGATTGTTCACTGTCTCAAATCGGGAGTTCACTGGCAGTGTCAATATCTATACGAAACTCAAGCGACTCAGACCTACGAACTCCACCATTTTACAGCGAGTGATTCGATATACCCAATCTCGCAAATTTCTCAATGGTGGCCCGAATGGATCGAAGATTACTCTAAGCGAAACTTCACTATCGCCTCCGACCGACTGCAAGCTTTCGCTGGGATTACCAAACACTACACAAACTTAACGTCAAAGAAACCGATTCTCGGAATTTGCCCGGGCAATCTTGCTCGAGACTTGGCTTGGATCAGAAATGGCCACATCAAGGGGCCTGGTGTTTGCGGCGCACCCTCTTGGACCTGGTTCTCTTGTAATGCCCCAATCATGGTAGATGATTGGGGCTTCAAACTTCAACGCCGATTCAAGGTCTCCAATGACGTGGAATTGGTCGCCTTTGGCATCGAGTGGAAAGGAATCCCGATGACGTCCCAAATTGAGTCTTGCCATCTCATCATACGTGGAGTTGTCAAAAGTATTTCGGTCCGCATACCGCCAGAGGCCATGATATACAATCCACCATACATGCTGCTCAACCATGAGGAGACCGATTTCTCCAAAGGTCCAATACCTTGGACCTGCTCAGGACGATTTGACGATCCCGGTCATCCGACAGATTCCAGACTCTCATACCCTTGCTTGCTTCTCAGGACGAGGATAATCGAGGAGGCCAAAGGTGGCACGCTTTTCAAGGAGACGTTTCTGATTCTCTCTCGCGACAATGAGTCACCAAGAGCGAAGTCGACTGAGCATATAAGGTTCCGACGCATTGGAATTGCATCATCCAGAGGAAAGGACAGACTTTTCGCGGACGATATCGACAGGGAAACAGTATTTCTCGTCTAAAGAGGCTATGCCAGAAAGGGCCATGCCGTGTACCTACATCGAAAAGAAATATTCAACGCTCAAACTTCTATTTGAGAAGGTGATCCTAAAAAGTACAGAATAGGCCTCCAACATTCCATCTGGTTCCTACTTTAGGGAATAATGTTGCATTATATTGTCAAAGATATCAGTCCTTCCACGACTGTCATGCGTAAGATGTCACGTAACAAGGATAGGGACCGCAATCCACAAAGTGTCTGTCACGTGCTGTATCACGTGTATTTCACTTACATCCTGTACATATACCTTTCTCTTTTGTCCATTTCCACTTTGATAGGTTAAGCCACTTTACCACACTCCGTATGCCCATTGCTGTGTGCCATAACTCGTGACATAAGAAGAGGGTTTGCCACTAGGGAAAAATGTGCAAGAGTCCAGTGCCAGCTGCTGTGAACATTGAATACGCTTGCTCAGGGCTTCTGAGGGGAGATCAAACTGATGACTCAAATGTTAGTCGAGCTAACCGAAATGATTAGATTATACCTCTTGTATATGATCCTGAGTTGCAACATACCTACTTGATTACGCTTGAAACAGTTTCGGTGAATTTTATGTAAAATAGCGCCTAGGAAGGGCTAGATGTATTGTAGTAATGTTCACTTGCTAGGAACTCTCAGCCTCGACTCAAAAAACCGTCCGGTACTTTACTATGCTTTAGCGATCGTCCTCGTTGCAAAAGAATACAGCTGGGGGACTTCCTGACTGTGCTCTATCGAATTGCCTTCGCACAGGTGTAGTCGGCTGCAAGCCATAGGTCAAACCGGATCTTTCCTGCCTAGTGACGGTAGGAAGAAAGACCACCATCTCTCCTGGTATCCGCTGCGATATGTGCTGAGGGACAGGAGACGTCAGAAGAAGCTTCAGCTTCACAACGGGAGATTGTTCTTGGCAGACCCAGAGTAAATAATGCATGGTGTCCTGCAGCTCATCCTCGTCCGTGCAACGTGAACACCCATCAATCACGCAGAAGATCACCGCGCCTGGCATAGACAGCAAAGCGGTTTCGAATAGCTGCCGCAAGACGTTAAACCCCCACTCAGACTGTCGAGCATAATCGACATCCATGGCAAATGCTTGCTCAGCTGGAAATTTCTCAAGCAACTGAACGATCAGACTACGCAAAAGATGGAAGCGACCCTGCTCGCTATCCTTGCGGAGGATACCACAAAAGTAGTGAAGAGTGACTGTCGGCTCCAAGTCTTTGAGGCTAGCAAGCAATGAAGAGCAAACACTCGAAAGAGGTGTGATCAGTTTCCCAGGCTCATAAATCCGGAGTAGCAAGACCTGTGACTGGTTTGACTGCATCCACGCGCGAAATTTCCGAATTTGCGTCAATTTCTTCACGAGATCGCTGCCGCTGATTCCTTCTACTCTGCCAATTGACCTGACGCTTTCTAGTGACCATTCTATGCGCTGAATTGAGACATCAAGCCTGGCTTGAAGATGTTGCCGAGTAAGTTGTGTCTGCTGCGGTGCTTGTTGGGGCCATCTGAGAAATGCTTGCTGTGATGATGACATTTGCTGAGCTTGTTGCTGACTGAGCAACATCATTTGTTCTGCTCAGTCGGGTGGTTAGCCTTCTTCATAATAATCACGCCCAATTAGACCTACGTTGTCCTTCCAAGATTGCGCCTTGGACTGCCCTGAAATTCGCAAACTCTCTCTCCAAATTCGCCAGCTTCCCTGTTCGATTCTGTGATTAGCGTACATCATGGTTTCTGGTAAATACTCGCATTTTAAATTCTTCTCGGATACTAAGGATTACTTACAGTCTGATTCAAGCGCGATGGAGCGAAGTGCGTTGTTCTCATCGCTCAGGAGAGCCAAGGTGCTTCCATGGGCCACGACAGCTGCCGTCATGCTTTGAACAGTCCCTTCAGTCCTCCTCCCTTGCTCAAAATTCCGAACGCTATTCACAAAAGCTTCTTCCACAAAGGGCTTGATTTCTTTTGCTGTCTTGAAAGTCTGCACCACAGCAAATTCGGCACATTCGCTTGCGAATTGGCGAAGGTCAACAGAGTACTTCTTAATATTTTCAACATACTCTGCAACCTTTAGTCCATAGTTGTCTTGTAACATAAGAGACTTCAACATCTTTTCTGAAATCCGGTAAGCGTCATAATGTCTCTCCATGATATCTTTACAGTCACTCACTGAACGCATGTTGATCGAGCCAAGCCAGCATAGCCTCGATGGCAGTGAGAATGCCAACATATAGGTTTAGTGCCTTCATTTGTAATGCTTCCCAATAATATTGATTCAATGCCTGGTCGAAACGGGCGAGACACTCTCTTGTTGTCTCCAAGTCATCTGGCAGGCGTTCGATAGCGCCTATGATCTTGGTCCTGATATTCGCTTGGGCATTGGCTGCCTGTTATTGTGTGAAGATTTTGTGTTAGTTGACCATAAGGTAGGAATCAAATGAAGTTTCAGCATCGATACTACTAAGCACTTACTCCGAGAACGAACTTCAAGCCCCCACTAACGACAGAAGAATAATCGCTGCTTGGTATGAGGGCGACCCAGGGGTCGACGTACTTCGCATGGTCGCTGATGAAGCGGCCTGCCTTGGTCGCCATTCCTGATTTGCCTGCTGCCTTACTTTCGTACGAAGTCTTGGCTTCTTGGATCTGCTTTACGACCTCATCCCAGGAGTGGGTGCCTCGAATGTTGAAACTTTGGTCACGGGGGGCAGGATCTTCCGCTTCTTGCCTGCCGAAATGGTCCTTCATTCGGCGGAATAGATCAGGCTTTCCCGAGTCCGTCTGCTGTTTGACAAACTCATCCATCACTTGCTGGAAGTGTTGTGTTTTGTTCGACGCTAGCCCCTTTAGAGCTTGAAGGTTCTGCGCGCTGCCGCTGCTTTGATTTAGAATGAGGTGTTCAGTCGGGACTAGAATGCCCGACGTACCTCTTGAGAGTTTCATTACTGTCATCAATAGAAGACGCAGTAACAGTAGCCAGGGAGGGGTTGCGCAAGATCGGGTCCCTGTATATTGGATGAAGATTCCGGCCCTGGTCTTCCATGTACCGAGAAGGCAACGAATCCAAGAAGCCTGATCCTCGTACATCTTTAGACGGATTGCTTTCCATCGAATCGATGGTTGCTATGAACTTTATCCTCGCAGAAGAAAATTTAGCAAGAATTCAGTTGAGTTTGGGTAATCGAGTTGCTGACGGGTATTTCGCCGTTGCAGAATGAGGGCGGCATGGTCGTGGCCGCAACTGGGATAATGTGGAGATAATGCATTTACCAGACGTACTAAGAACCAGGCTGTCAGGCAGCTTCGCAGAATTTCTGCGCTTTCGCGTCTGAAGCCCGAAGGGGTTGCACATCCATCCGTCACTGCATTTACCGGTCAGGAACGGCAGGATGCACAAGCTGCATTCGTGTTGATGCTTATATCGGGCCGAAAATATCCCAAAAATTACACGTCGTAGATAAGCGCCCCTCAATCAGATATGTCGACTGGCTGATAACGTCAGACTGATGGCTCATATCTGTGCAGATGTGCATGAAAAAATAAGCTGATGTTACCTTAACAAGCAGGCTGCGATTCAGCTGGTCACTAGTGTATCATAGCCTGCAGATGAGTTGAGCAAACTGGACAGGTCTGTTGTTCGTGCCACCTCTTAGCCGCATGCCACGCCCTAGATAAAGTACCTCCGAAGGAAATGATAGCTAATTTAGGAATCAGGTTCTCCAATTTCTCATTGGTTATGAATGGATGCTCAATGCATTTCAAATCGAAAAATCTCCGCCTCAAAGTTACCAATCTGCCAAATACTGGTTTCGTCCACTGCACTGAACAGGCTTCAAGTCGTGGCAGAATACTTCAGAATTGCTATAAAATAACCGGATTGACGAGGAACTCATCCCGTCTAGCTGTGCGACGATGTGTTCTACGATGAAGAGCACCGGTCCTATCTCCGACAGCGGGCCTACAGACAACTCCCGCATCACAGCCCGTCCCGAAATCCATAATGGGTTGGTCTCCAGTGCGCAAGGCATACCAAGCCAGATCACTCCAGTCGAGAAGAACCTTGCGAATGAACAGAGCACCACCGATCTAGAGGAATCAGCACAGAGCGAGAAGCTGGACGACGCCGATGATAAAGATAAAAGGGACGTCCAGGATGAAGAAGACAGCGTCAATGCAGCTGACGATGAAGACGATGGCTACGGCAGCCCAGGGTCTTCTGTGAGTGACCCATTGTCGGATCCTGATGTATCCTATGGGCGGCAAATTGGAGGGAAGCGACTTCGACAGCATGCCCAGCATCTCACAATCACCGAAAACCGCATTCGCTCTTTGGAGCGAAGACTCGCTGCCCTCGAGAAGTTGCCAACGCGACCCTCAACACCCGAAGTCAACCTTGAAGATGAGCCTAAGCCTATCTTTAAGCCCCAACTTAACTTCGTTAAATGGGCCCAGTTCAAGGCCACAATGAAGATCAAGGAAGGGGAGGTACGGCATGCCATTGATGTTCTCGTTGGAGAGCCAATTCTCTTTCACCAGCGACACCGTAAAAATGCAAGAACAATTGTCACAGAGTCACGTTTTTCACAGGCTGAAGACGACAACTTTCCGTTGGAATCAATCCCAGAGCGTATTCGTATCAACTCGCCTGTACTACTTGACGTTCTCAAAAATGTCATTGGAGGCTCATTCCGCATGCAAACTGAGCCGACAGTTGTTCTTCGGCCGTACAAAGCATTCACTTTCTATGAAACTGAACTCCGAGAAGCTTTGGAGGCCATGGAAAAGAGCTTGACCGAACAATCCAAGCAGGCGATCTATACCCCAACTCAGGAGAAGATCCACTCCAGTGAAGGCTTCGATGAAAACCTCGACAAGGCTGAGACTGAACGTGACAGGCCTGTTGAGGCAGCATCAGAGACTGAGATCGAAAGACAGAAATCTGTGCAAGCCATTGAAGAATTGCGTGGCTTAGTTCGGTTCGTCGAGGCTCTTTCACCATTGGTCAAAATCATCAAGCAAAAGCCAACGCAGCTCTTGAAGGCTGGCGATGCAACCACCGACAGTGAAGAGACTCCCACGCAGAAGAGGGAGAAAATTTCTGTTCCCTTCAAAGATTTATGGTATATATTCCAGCCTGGCGAATACATCATCTGCAAGGGCAGCAAGGAAGGCTACCAACGTGTTTGGAGAATTGTGCAATGCACAGGAGGCCGGGCATACCTCTCAACTGAAGGAAACCGTGATCGGGTTGATGGACCTCACTTGGCTAAGCATAGTCCGTTAGTATTGGATTGCTACTACCTCGACTTTGACGGGAAAAAGTTTGGTCCGGTATACCACAGATTCGACATTCAGCCTTTCGAAAACAATCGGGACGTATCTTCGCTGGAAGTATTTCCAATCGCATATGCAGCCGATTCGGAAACCATTCTCAATGAATTGTCCAAGCAGGGAGAAGATTTCGTTAATGCTATACGAGCCTGTCAAAAGTATTGCGTGGGACGAACACGCACGTGGACACCAAAAGGCGAAAGGATAGCTCATCACTTGCACCCAGAAGACGTCGATGGTCCGGTCATGGTTGATTTCGACCGTGCGATCCAATTCAACCCTACGTGGAGTCCCGACTTCACGCTGCCCAACTTTGCGGACCAAGATAGGCGAGAAACTCGGGAAATGACAATGCACGAGGATGTCACCTGCTCTGATGACGGCAATTGTGTTGATGCCAACTGTTGTCAGAATGAGAACATTTTGGATGACTACGAATGGGATCGACAGAGAATGGACGACTTCATAAGCACCGAAGACATCCTCCGCTCATTCAACGACAGCAGTGACTTTGTTTCGCCATTGCCCGCGGACTATCGACTCTGTCCCAATAGGGTCTTCGGCTTCATTCTCCGAAGCCGTAAATGGGGTCAGTTACCGTGGCGCCTTAAACTTGACAAGATTTGAGGTATACGCTGACTTCGGGCTCGCCATGACTTAGCTTGTCTACCTGTGAGTGGGCTTAAGGAGATCAAAAGAGAGACTTCGAATCTCCAGGACCTTGAGCTTCCAGGACACCATAAAGATATCGTCACCGGACTAGCGGAGTCTCATTTCCGAACCAAAGCGAAGGAGAAACGTGCTCAAAGATACGAGGCCCAGAGGGAATTTGACTTGGTGCGGGCAAAAGGTACTAGACTTAACCGCCAAGCATTTTCAAGAGATGGCGAGTGAGTACTAACTAACTCTAGGCAAAGGACTAATTATCCTACTCCACGGGGCTCCTGGAGTTGGGAAAACCTCAACTGCAGGTACGTATTACGAGAAGAGATGTGATATTTATGGTAAAGCATTTGTAAATGGCTAACTTGGCCTTCAGAGTGCATCGCCGAAGCCAATGCAACCCCATTGTTCCCAATTACATGTGGTAAGCGTCTTTGAAGCCAGGCTGACTCATTCTTGCTGATTGACTCAGGTGACTTGGGCCTGAATCCTGTAGATGTCGAACAAAATTTGGAGCTCAACTTCCAGTTGGCTGAGTCTTGGGGATGCGTTTTGCTTCTCGACGAGGCCGATGTGTTCCTTGCTCAAAGGACCCAGAACGATATCAAGAGAAATGCGCTCGTATCCAGTTTGTTACAATGGACCTAATATAGCTTCATCTCGCTAACAGTTTGCCTAGTTTTCCTCCGTGCTTTGGAGTACTATTCCGGGATCTTGTTCCTCACCACCAACAGGGTTGGGACCATCGATGAAGCTTTCCGCTCCCGCATCCATATGAGTCTCCTTTATCCTATCCTCAGCGAGGCCCAAACCATGAAGATTTGGAAAAGCCAGCTCGCGAGAGCACAGAAGCGCGACCCGACTCTAATCGTGAAGGCCGATGATGTCCTACTATTTGCCAAGAATTTGCACGAGCAGCAGATGAAAAAGCGCAAGGTTGGCTGGAATGGGAGACAGATACGGAACGCAATGCAGACTGCTGTTGCATTGGCCGAGTATGATAGCGTCATGTCCTCCCCAAATCCGGAAACACCACAGTCTCCATCGCTGGAGATCAAATGGTTCAACATCATCGCAAGTGCATCATGGCAATTTGAGGCTTATCTAGAAGATGCTTTGCAACTTTCGGCTCGAGAATACGCCCAACAGATCTCTATGCGAGCCGATAGAGCTTCCACCGATCATCTAGTGATGCCAGAAGTATCTACACTTCCGCCATCGATGCAACCGTTGTTCGGCATCAAGCCCATGGAATCCTCGCAATCAGTCCATCCTCAAACTGGCTCACTATTTGGCGTGGCAGGTGATAGCATTCTTCAGCAGCCATCGTCGGCGGGCCATGATGCTTCTCCGGCACAACAGTGGATTCCAAGGACTCCCAACAACCCTCCCGCGTCTGCCCCTCGGGCGCAATACACACCAACGCCCGTATCGCACTATATACCACCGCAAGCTCCCGGCAACATCTTCGGATCAACGGGAGACGTACCATTGTCCGTGTCTCAGCCATTTACGCTATCTAACCTTTACGGCACTGTCAACATGCCAAATACTCTGCCACAGGATTCTTTGTTGTTCCCAGGTCAGCGGCGGGCGGTCACGCCGACTCACCAGCACTACCAGTACTATGGAGCCATGGACCCGTCATCAGGTCACCCAGTGACTCATCCATGGCGAGACCCTGTTGTTTCCTCTGGAAGCCCAGCAGGCAACATGACAATGTCTGGTCCAACTCTCACCCAACCAGTGAAACAATACCCTCAGCCGTCTATGCCAGAGTCCGGAAACAGTGCCCAGTGAACGGATCGTGGCAGACTGAAGCATCAACAGACTCAAACAGAATCCACACTGCCAACAAGTGAATTAGGGCCTGGTAGACAACGAGCGGGAAACAGGATGCATGCCAAGACATCGCGAATATTGTAGATGCTTACTAGCAGTCAACTTGAAATTGATACACGAGACTTTTCCTTATTTTCGACTAATACTTGTCGCCAACCTCCCAGGCGACTGCCGAAGTACTTAAGTGGAGCATGAGGGGTAAAGCTGCTTCTCGGACAATAAGAAGAGGGGACAAATGCACCCCAGAAGCTAGTTAATTCTTCAGAGCTCCGACGAAGAGTCGGCCGCGCGGGACGGCTTCGAAGGAGACAACATTTCGGCCAATGCTACCAACTCTGGATTCCCATCTATTTGGGTTTTCACACTGGCTGACGTGAGCTACTCTGACCCCTGGCGACTAGCTTTCAGCTCAACCTTGGCCATCAATTGGCAAACAATACATGTCTGAATGAATTGACCCCTCACTTTGCCCCGCCATGTAAATCCGTTTGCTATAAATCCGGTTGCCCCGCCTTCGACACTAGGAAGATTGGCCACCCACCGAGATATCGCGACCTTTAAAATTCTCGACGTGAGGGGTGTTTTGCAGAATACAGAGACAGACATCTTATTCCCCAGCAATTCTTTGATACCAATAGTCGTTCCAAAAATGTCCACCAAGCTCCACCAAGCGCCCCCTTTCAGGGCAGAGCACATGGGCTCTCTCCTTCGCCCTCAGAAGCTCCTCGATATCCGCGAAGGCAAGATCCGCGATCAGGGTTTGTCCGAGGAGGAAGCCGGTCTTCCCGCCGTCGAGAAGGAGTCTGTCGCTGAGGTCGTTCAGCTCCAGCGCGATCTGGGCATCAAAGGTGTCACTTCGGGCGAGTTCAACCGCACTCGTTTCTGGGGTCTCATGTGGGATGAGTTCGAGGGCTCTACCCGCTTGCAAGATGCCGAGGCCAGCATGTTCCGGTTGTACCACCCCGATGTGGTGAGCCTCATTGAGAAGGACCGCAAGGTCATGCCCGGCGACTCCGTCATCGCCGGCGGAAAGCTGTCTCACTCGCCCTCAAAGTCCAAGTCGAACTTGCACGAGCTGCGTTTGGTGCAGGCTGCCCTGCCGAAAGAGGAGTGGAAGGGCATCAAGTTGACCATGATCACGCCGGCTTGGTTCCACATGCGCTACAAGCAGGGCAGAGCATACACCAAGGAGGCGTACGCCAACGATGCTGAGTACTTCAAGGATGTTGCCAAGGTTTACCAGGCCGAACTCCAGCAGCTCTACGACGCTGGCTTGCGCAACGTTCAATTTGACGACCCCGGCATGGCTTGTGAGTAAGCAGAGTCCGGCAACAGTACAATTGCTAATCTCTCGCAGACTTCTGCTCGCAACAGTTCCGCAAGGGCTGGGAGGAGGACAAGGACAACGAAGGCACCGTCGAAGACCTTCTTGATGCCTACATTGCTCTGTATAACGACACAGTCAGCAAGCTTCCCGAAGACATGCACACCGGTATCCACCTGTGCCGCGGCAACTTCATCGGGGGCCGCCACTTCGCCGAGGGTTCTTACGACATCATCGCGAAGAAGCTCTTCCAGAACCTCAATGTCAACACGTTCTACCTCGAGTACGATACCGAGCGCGCCGGCGGTTTCGAGCCCCTCCAGTTTCTCCCCAAGAACAAGAACGTTGTGGTGGGTATCATTAGCACCAAGATCCCCAAGCTCGAAGATAAGGAGGAGATGAAGGCCCGCGTTCTCAAGGCTGCGGAGTACGTCGCCAAGGGAAGCGGTGAGACCAAGGAGGAGGCGCTCAAGCGTATCTGCGTGTCTCCCCAGTGCGGTTTCAGCACGCATGAGAGCGGATACCCGTTGAGTTTGGAGGACGAAATGAGCAAGCTTTCTTTGATTAGAAAGATTGCTGACGAGATTTGGGGCGAGGCGTAAAGAGATATCCGTAGGTGCATATGAGAGGCATGAAGGCCAGAGTGGCGGTGTAACATTCAACATGACAGGCTCGAGGGAGAGCGGGTGTAGATTACTTACTGCAAGCGTGTCTAAAGATGTATGGTCTTTTTTCTTTCAACCTAGTCTTAGGAATCCAATGTCTTTGGTGACAAAATATTTAAAATGATGTTGGTCTAAAGTCGCTATCGAGTTCAATTCTGCGATGATGTTGGTTTTTATAGACCGTGAGAGTACCTGCCCCCTCGCTAACCTCAAGCGCCAGTGTCAGAGGTCTACTTTACTCTAGTAATATGCAAAAAGTTTCATCCGTTTTGCAATTTTAGAAGTGTATGACAAAGAGACCATGCTGTACATGTTGGTAGACGTAGTTGAGGCCAAAATTGAGATGATACAGTAGTGAATTGATGGCTGACTGCCAACTATGGACTAGTTGAAAGATATAAAGAATGGTACTAATACTAGAGTATGTTGGTTGAACTTCTTCAGCCGGGTATTGAGCAAGTTATTGAAGCGAAAGAAAAATGGTCGGCCACCGTCTGTGACGTAGTAGGAAAAGAAATTGGTCTTGCAAGCGTGCCGCCTTCAAGGTCAAGAAGGTTCGCGTACTCTCAACCTTATACAGCCTTGACAGATCGAAGGAGGCTCGAAACACTGCTTGAGACTTTGGTCAGAAGCGAAGACTCGGATTTTGTAGTATCGGCTGTCATTGCACTCCGACTGGTCTCGCTGGACCGTCGCCTGGAGTGCATCTCCCGAACAAACTTTGGCCAGGTATTCGTCAATACAAGATATTTGATGTGGCCTTGTGCGTTATCAAACACCGTAGAGTTGAATCCCGCGGGGATATCACCAGTGTATCGAGCTTGATGCCGGATATCCCCGCTGCTTCCCGAGCTTGACCCCGTGCGTGATCTCAGGTAAGCATCATCGAAGGGGACAGCAATGTTGACAGAAGCGTCTTCCCCAAACAAGATGCGGGCAGGCTTGTCAAATACCCGAAACAACTGCTTCATATCCTGGGAGGGAAGGTTCAGGGGGAAGTCGGCATGCTCTAGTGAGATGAAGTCGGCGTAAATCTGGAGGGCGAGATTGTATGCATCAAGTTTCTCTTCTTGAGCGAGAGACTCGCGAGATTCCGAATCCGAAATGGCATTCGGCCAGGATCTCGACTTCCACTCGGAGACGCGAGCGAGGAAGGCAATGTTCTCGCCGGAGAAGTCGCTGAGGGCAGAAAACTCTTGCAAGACGCCTTGATTCTCCCTCAAAGCGTGATCGAGTGCGGTCATTGTCAGCAGGCGACTATCGATATCTGGACCAATATCGGCGGAATCCGTTTGGCAGATAACCGGTTGCCCCTTTTCAGCTTGGCTGGAAGAGGCTGGACTTTTACTGCCACGAAACGACGCTATGGTCGACGCCCTTAGTGTTGTCTGTGATTCAGTTTCCCATTTTGCGTTGGCTTCCGTGACGTGCTTCAGGAGGATACGGAGTCGAATGATTTGGACGAGTGGGACAAAAATCGTGAAAATCTCAAACATCATGGTTGAAAGATGAATCCTAGTCTCTTGTATCAGCAACTACAAGGCTTTCGAGTAAGAGAGGACCACTGACCATTGACTCGGGGGAAAGTACATGTTGATGGTGTTGAAGGCCGGTACATATGATGCAATGAGAAACATTGGTGTTGCGTGAAGACTTGGAGTTTAGTGCTGTCAGCAAAGTTTAACCGCGGAGACGGCTGGGAATTGTAACGTACCCTGAAAGGCAGCAACCGATGGTCTGAGTTCGCCACCCCATTGTATCTCGAATACTCCATGCTCGCCAGATGAGCGTCGGCGCAACCTTTAGGCAGTCAGCTATCAGTGAATCACGCGGAGCCGAGGGTTGTGAATCAAAGCCAGGAAGGAGAAAGTCATACAAGCCAAGTCCAAATAGACTGCCAAAGGAGGGTTGGCCACCACTCCCATCCGCGGCCCAGGTCAATCAACTGCTCTACTATGTTGTCTCCGCGGATCTCTGTGCCGGGGATGCCGAAGGTAGGGTGGTACTTTTTGCAGGCAACCCACATGCCAGTTGTGAGTAGGCACTTGAGAGTGTCAGTATCGCTCAGTCGAACAAGACATTTGAGTTCGATCATCTCACATACCTGGAATATCGCACCGATACCGATGAAAATGAGAATTCTCCTCCCATAGTCCATATTCCTGAAGCGACAAAGCCACGACGTCTTCGAGCCATTACATCCTCTCCGGAGACTACCAGCGCCAGAGCCAGTGAAGTGAAGCCTCTGCAACTTCGCAACGTGCAGAAATCTGCTGTTAGAGGCGTGGAAGCACGCGATACCGAGCGGGAACCAGACGCCCATCACAAAGTACTGAACGTCGTACGCAATGACCACGGGCATCGTTCCACCGATCGGGTATGTAATCTGAGCCATGCACCAATACAGGTGCAGGAAAATAATGGAACCAAAGGCCAGAGGTAGGCCGCGAAGTCTCAAGATGGGGCTCCCCCGGTTGGCCCAGAGGAAGGCCATACCGGCAAAGACGATGGCGGTCCATGTTGCGCAGAATGTGATGTAGAATATGCCAATTTTATCCCATTTTGGTGGCATGGGCGGGAAGTTGTAGATCGTGAGGCCGGCCAATGCTGTTGGATCCATTGTTGAGGTGGTATGTTGTAGTGTCTGTACGTTGCATGAAGAAGGCAAGGGAGAAAGGGGGGTTGTCGTGATCTTCCTGCAGTTCAGATGCGGACTTGGGCAGGGGATAGTCGCACTTTTCAAGACAACAGCATTTTCGTGGATGTGGGTTGCAAGACAAAGTTATTACCGCAGTAAGACCTCGTCCACGCTTCTCAAACGACAGCATCGGCACCTGAGAAGTATGGGGATCGCCCATCTAAGATCGCTAGATCCAGCCGTGGGATAGCGTGCTTGGCGATAATATCAATGTGATACAGAGGCTCAGTCCCTCCGAGGCAGCGAATCCCATTGTCCCGTGCTGTTCTCCTCGCATTGTGGCGTCCTTCAGCTATGGCGAACACCTTGTTTTGGTATTTTGGCAGGCCCACAACCCTTGAACAGCAGGGTGTTCGTCTCGGCCTGGGCTGCCTCTGTTCCTCCCCGTCTTCTTCGCTTCTCTTCTTCATCATGATGATCTTTCGATACCGTCTGTGCTCCAGTGCCCCCGGACCAGACCGAGTTCGCTAGACGTTGCGACTAGCTCGCGCTAGATGAGAGATGGCCCAATCAAAGGAGTACCGTTCTGTCTTGGATTTTGCGATCTTCACGACTCAATCTCACCCAGGAAAAGCGAGATGGGGTGCCTTGCATGCGTCAAGTTTTGGAATCTTAGTACTCAACAATGACTTAGTCTGAGAAGTCCGAGTCGAACAGCCTGCCCGAAGCCCCACGAGATCCTCTCATCCAAACGGCATGCATACTTGCTTACTTTGTTTGGATGGCTACGTCCTCGACCTGCTAGATGTGTATTAGCGTTGTGATTGACGGCAATAGACGCCTGTTGATCTTTTCTTAGAGCTCCAATTTTCCTCAACGACCGGTTCGCACCGTCAGCTTCTTTGAGACACGGCGTTTACGCAGACGAATGAACAAATAAGGAACGGAACTGTAATCCTCCTCCGCAAACCCGGCTTGCTTAAAGGCCCTCAAGCCCTTTCGCGCCCGTGTGTGGATGATGGAACCACGTGGTTGCACATATAGAGAAAGCAGATGTAAGTCCAGGATTCTCACCAGGTGGAAAACCTTACGAATAGATGCATGTGTTCCTCACATTGGACAAAATCTTGTATTATTAAACTCATGACGCACAGTCATTTTTCAGAATACTCATCTTGTAGAAATCGGGCCCAGAGCGCTGGAGTAAGCCGATGCAACCAGATTCAAATCCATCCCAAACCCAGAGACTTGAGACCCCAGGGCATTCAGGGGTCCTTGTAAGATGTGCAGGCTTGGGCAGATCCTGGGCATGCGGCTGTCTCCCCCGGTCGATACCAAGAATGATTCCATCGGAGCCATCGAATCCGATCGTGCCAAGGCAGTCAGTGTCACTAGTCTCGAGTGTCATGTCTTATTTGTTTGGTCCGATGAACCAGTTCTCACCTGGGAACCGGCATTTCAAGAGCCCGTGCATCTGGGTAACGATGCGATCGTCGCTGTCAGCTCAAATCCCAGTCTAGGTCTCAGCAAAGAGCCATGTATGACTTTGCAAAGACTTCAAGATACCTTCATATGATAGAATTTCGTCCAACGCTGTGATGACTTCATCTTAGGCCCCAATTGCCTCCAATTTTGCCCAAAGACGACGAAATGGTGCCCCATTTTGGTCCACGACCCTTCTCTCGCAAGGTTTGACAGGAAGGGAAACTACCCTGCGCCACCACGCATTCTACTGCCGACGCACTTTCGAACAAAGACGGCAACCAAGCATCCGTCGACCGTTCCTAATGCCAAGGAATCGACCAATCGGCTGTCATTGTAGCGGCCGGCTGCGCAGATGAACAATGCCAGTCGAAAGTTCGCGGCTCAAGCGCAATTCTAGCTCACTGTTCAACTGACCACAAAGGGCCTCGGGCCGGTTTTATTTGATGACGGCGCATGGGTGGTATCAGTAAAATACTACGTTGCCTACCTATGTCACGCTATCAGTCGCCGATCGTTATGGGATTTTAATACTCCGAACAATGATAAGTCTGGAGTCATACTTAGGGTTTGTAGGACCACCAGCTAATCACAACGCCACATACGAAAGACATCTTAGCATCGCCAGTGCCTCCCCTGAATACAAATATTCCGGCATTGATATGGAGATAACTCGATGCCCCGATTTCAATTAAAGGCTCCAACGAGCGCCCAAGAAATATCGAAGTCCATGTATCGCCAAGGCGTAATACAGTTAATACTACAGGTTCATATCTAGTACATTTTGTCTACCTTGGGTACCTATACATAAGGAACTAACGTGAAGCCGGAATTATACTTTCAACTTGACTTGATGGAGTCAAAAGTCAAGGCTTCCCGGCTCCTCCAGTCTGAACTTTGGCCTAGTGCACTATGCCATGCAGCATGTGATTTTACTTGCTCCGTTCTTGGACGATTGAGAGTGTTCAGGAGGGTTGATCAAACACTCTCATAAACAAAACAGAGTCATCCGAATGCTCTGATATATCGACGGCAACTGATCCTAGGCCTCCGCGATCTGAGGCAAAATATGACAAGTTACCTTGCTACAAGCTCCATGAGGGTCTGTTGAAGAAATCAAAGGTACGGCAAATGGCGTCCAACTGGAAAACAGCACTGCCTTAATAGCATGATCGGACTGTCGTCCCTCGGTTGTTCCTGTGCCAGTTTAACACACTTGGAATTCTCCGCAAAGCCATCTGGCATAATATCTGGGATAATAGTGCAGACAACAAGTGACTTTGCATATTTACAGCTCAGGTGATTTCAAACTGCTGAAGAAACTCAGAGGTTTAAACATTGAGTTTTGGAAAAGCCCAGGTGCTCAATTTGTCGTGTCTCGTTTCCTACTAAAAGTTGTTGTCCTAAGCTCATCACTCTGGACGTGAAAGTTGCTCAAAGTCCGTAGAATCCGGTGCATTGACTGCAAGTTGTGAATGATAGACAGAATTCTATCTTTAGGAGCCTTGAGCAATGCTAGACCGACCAGAAGAAGCCATAGACAAAGTTAAATCGGCAATCCGTGTCGAGGCAGTCCGCAATAATCGAAAAGTTTTCAACCCGATCTTCCCTACACGGACCGTTCGATTTTCGCTAGAAGTTGCATTTCAGCCAGCCCTACCATCGGCTCAGCGCAGGAGCTGAACTATCTCCGTCACGATAATTCTATCTTTTCCCAGACCAAAAGTTCCAATGGGTCGAGGAATCCGGTAAAAGCTTCTCTCAGGGGATACAAGCAAACGTAGAAGCCTTGGCCTCCAGGCTCCAGCTCACTTCCCGAATGTCTCTGAATCGACTGTTGTGGCTAATAGCCTCTGCCGTCTTCGGGATGCCTCATTCACCATTCTCTCAGGCTGACGAGCGCCACATTTCGCTTGCCACGGATTCTTCGTGGGTTCAAAACCATGTGGCCGCAGTCGTACGAGCACGTGGCACCGACCCCTGAGGGGCTGAACGGTTTCCTTCCAGAACTTCCTTTCCGTGGAGAAGAAGAGATTAGCAAGAATGGCGTGGACGAGAACTCCTTCGGTTACCCTTGGCGTTATCTTGCGAGAAGGAGGCTTGACCCCCTCCTTGCTTCTCTTTGCTGCGTTGTGTAGTTGTGGCTGGATGGACAGTGGTCTGACGGATGATGCTTGGCTTGAGGCCTGGTCACACCTGTATATTGTGTACGACAAGGACTCTCATGTCTCAAGGCAAGGTCTGGGGCTTCGGGCAGAGGAGGGGCAATAGAATGGGCAATCGACGATGGTCTCTGTTGAGCCGTTTGTTTTTATTTCCAACAAGGCTAATCATGTTTCTCCCCACTGCTCAGGCTACCTTCGGTCTCCCCGATTGGACCGACGGAGTGTCTACTGTCTCGACTGATGGATGATTGGAGGTGTCACGACATAGAGGGGTGGGATACCGAAACTTTCCGTGCCGCTTCGTGGTGAATCACGATCTTCCGGCCGAGATGACGCTCGCGTGCCTGGCACGTCGCTCAGCTGGAGGTTCGATGCTTTTCACGTCTGAAGTTTATTGACTCGAGTGCTGTTGTCCCACGTCACTCTGCCAAGGTGTCACTATTCCGGTGAACCTACGGGGGCCACGGTTGAGCTCCCGGACACGTCAGAATGATCCTCAGGGGCGGGCAATAGGATTCTGCTTCCAAGCGTAACTGTTTCGAGATATGTTGATTCTGTATCTCATGGTGTTTCCCGGTGTGTATGCTGTCCACAGCCTTGGCTGTTTTACGGACAGCGTTGGATTTACGTGTTCACCACCCACAATATTCATGACATCCCGAGGAATTACAAGCCTATAAAGGCAGTCAGTGAAGAAGTACAACAGATAATAGACCGGGCACAATTAATAGATCATCATATCGATGCAATCGCCCTTCGTACCCGGACCCAAACCATGCAATCCATGTCGGACACAGAGATGTAGCTAGCCGCGGGCGAGATTAGGTCGACCCCAGGGCCGGGCTTCCGGTCAAAGCAACACGGCACTACGAGTCTATAGCAGCCCTAATTTTAACGAATCGCGTATCCTTCCGAAGAGGGAGCAACTGGTCCCAAGATGTTGGTCGAAAATGCAGGTCTGCCCGAGCTTCCCACTCCGGCTCCTGCCCCTTGCCGCTCCCCGGGTGCGCAAAGGTAGATGTAGCTCCGAGCGCATGTCTCGGACGGAAAGCGAGGCCAATATTTCCTTCTTCTCAATATTCGACGGCGGCGATGCGCAGCTGCACTATGCCGCGCGGGCGTCTTCGGCGGGAGTTGGGTGCCTACCGGGTTGTCTTTGCAGGCGATGCTGAGACATGACAACGTGGGAAGAGTCCCACGAGAGCCAGGTGTGAGAGGCAGGGCGTTGATGCTCCGAAGATGTTGACATGTTTGTAAATGAGTGGTGTCTTTTACGAAGATCTGGGATTACTCGAACACCTAGTAAGAGATTACATGTCCAGGGGCCAGGACATGGGCATTCTTGATCTTTGTAGGAAACGTATGCTATGAACATCCTCTAAAGAGAAGACTTCACTTCCAAGTCAACCTCTAAGTTCCAGGCTTTTCTCTCAGTCACATGTTGATATGCAATCCTTACGCAACAGTCTGACGACCTGCGAGGGGAAGAGAAAAAACTAGCATGAAAGCCACTAGCGCAAAGCAACACCACAAGTCGTACTTGTGCTCACACACTTGACACTTCTCATGGGGCCGCACAAGAAGCCATGCGGTTTTGCGACACTGAAGCGGTTCCTGGATTCGTCGGGCAGCCTCCTCGACAGAGTATGTCTCACTGGTGGCGTATTGAGGCCTTGGCTAGACGTGACTTTTGAACATCTTTTTGCTGAATGTTGTTGTCATGAATAAAAGCTACCAGCAAGGCGGGTAAAGCTGATGATGGGAAGGAGATCTACGCCGGCAAGAGAGGAGTATAAAGAGAGGCTGGAATCTCACGAACTGGGGATCAGAAGATGAAAAGATATCACAGCCTCATTTGGACAATCATCTCCTCAAGTAACGATTGCCAATCGACAACTGCACTCTCATCCTTGTTGCCAAGTTCAGAGCATTCAGCTTGATCATTCTCAAGTAAAACCCTTTCTCAGAGTAAACGAGACAAGATGGGCAAGCACACCTCCAAGCAGTCTTCCTCGAAGTCCAAGAGTAAGCCCCCCCCCCCCCCGATATGTCTTCAAAACTCCAAGACCACTGCTGACTGAACCCTCCGCCTGCCAGGCTCCGGCGCTAGGGCAGCCAACGGGCAGAACTCCTCGTCCAGCACCGTCCCGGTTGACCGATCGCTCGGCAGGAGCCAGACAACGACGATCATGGGGGCTCACGACAGTCCGATGGGTATGTGGCTGACGCAGCCGTTCCATCAGGAGCCATACCACAACATCGCCGCGGTGTCGGCGGACGGATCGGCGGCGGGGCAGGCTGACGGACGTCAGGGGTCCGGGGCCTCGGCGACGTACGCTTCGTCCCGGCCGCAGCAGCAGCAGCAGCAGCAGCAGCAGCCACACTGAAGTACGGCATGATCCTTCAAGGAGATCCTAGTCTGACTATGGGACTGTTCTGATTCGTTGTTGTTAGAAAAGTCTCGTCATTGGATTAACGTCGCCTATTTTCTCTTCTGTCACCACGCTTCACTTCAAAGATAGACTTAGATGCACTTTGCAATAAACAGTTTCTCCCGCAACTAAATGGAAGAGCCTCTCGATCCTCCAATACCCCGCGCGGCATCGTGGAGATGAAGGGGTCCAAAATCCGTGCGCATACTGTCAGAAGACATAGAGGGCTATGACTGACTTGGTGTCATGGCTTGGCGATGGAAGTTGGGATGTGGCTTGGAAGAAGTCAGTGGATTCGGGGCTAAAGTTTCATGAGGCTGATGAGGAACTCTGAGAGATTGAGACCAAGGTGGCTGAGAATGGCGCGCTTTGATTAGCGCCATCAGCCCCGACTCAATCGAAATGTGCAACATAAGTTGCCATTAAGCAATAATTTCTTCTACTGCTCCGTCTGAACCTGCGAATCTGGTATCGCCCCCAATAACGAACATTGAAGAGTAATACCTAATTCTCTTCTTCGGAACCCGCGAGCGCAAAGTGCCAAGCAAATCTTCGTATTTGCTTTTTTCGGTTCTTCCCCTGCCTGGCCCATCTCTTGGCTGTTGGCCCTATTCGGCACTCGTTCTCTCGGACGCATCCGGGCAAGCGTGCCGAGCCCAACGGCGCAGCTTGGCAAGGCCTCCCAAGGACCCAAAGCACAGATGGAGACGTCATGCAAGTTGCACAGTCACTTGCCGCTGTCCCCCGCGGGCTGCAAGCAGGCGGCCAAGAGGTTTAGGAAGCACTTGAGAACTCTCTCGAGGAGTTGAGAGAGGTTGGTCAGAAGATGCGGAATGTTGGGGAGGATTGTAATTGAGATAACACCCAGGCAACCCTGACGGTGTGCGTGATGTCCGATGCGAGTGTGTGTGACTTGTGAATTCGATAGTCTGGAGTTTGAGTATCAAGTTTGGATTTTGGCGAGATTGAAGAGTTGCAGCGGTGGTCGTAAGCTGACTGAGAGCCGAATTATTTTTGGGGATGGGCGAGGAATTGTCCGGGGTTCAATTTCCTTATTCTCGCATACTTGGGATACAAGCTTCGACTTATGTCAGCGGCACAAGTCGACGAGATGAGGTCAGCAAAATACGTACTCTCTCACTCTCTGTACGGCGTTGCTTTACGTACTCTCACTCTCACTCCCATTCTGGCTCACCTTGCTCACCTCTCACCTGACTCTGAGTCTCAAGAGTCTCAACCATCTGAATTGCTTTACTGGTCCAGGCTAGCCTATATCCACCCTTCCCTGTCGGCGAGGAACAGCAAAAAGCATAAGCATAAAAGCAGAAATGAGACGGGCAGCACACATGACGTCAAACACCCTAAATCAGAAGGCCGCCATCCTCAGTAAGCTTTGACCGAAATTAATTGGCAGCGGACGATGGGCACTGTTTTTGGTTTCACACAGAAATGAGTTTTTCTCTCAAGTGTTCGCGGTTGCTTGTGTTCCCCAGGTTCAACGCCCTCTCCCCCCCCCCCCCCCCTTCAAAGCGAGCCTAACCTAGCGCGACCATCGAGTCTATGTAAAGAGGAGGGAAGGGAAAATCCTTCGAGGTAACAGATCTCTCTGTGATGTGCACTAACTGCCCATGTTTTGCATTGAGATCGCTTCGCTTCGTCTCCCATCATCGGCCCCCTTCTCCACGTGGATGCGCCTCCGTTCCCCGTCGAGAGAGGGTCGAGAGCCCACCTCTTTTGCGCCTCAGTTTCAGTGATTTTTATGAGTGTTCCGGCAGGGAGGACGGCACCATGGACAATACTGTATGAGACTTGAGTAAGTTATGTGCGGTAGTTGGACAGTGGAGACGGTGCTTCAAGGGGCGATGAATTTTGTTTAGTTGCAAGGGGGCAGCAAGGGAAAGGAGAGGAAGAGTGGAAGACAACTGCAACACAGCGACGAGAATGTCACTGAATGATTGACTGAGAAGTGTTTGCAGCATGCGCTGATCGCTGGATGCAGGGCCGCTGAGACAGAGAAACGACTGTTTGGGAACCAGGAAGACCCTCTCTAGAAGTCTTCTCTCAGTCTCAATCCTCGCCCAGTCAATCAGTCTCTGACTTCCGCTCCCGCTTTCTGCAGAGTTCCCAATTCATTTGTTCTCGACCAGTCCACTTCGTCCCTGATGAGCTTTCCTCCACAAAATTCCTGCAGAAAAGATTGGAAAACGAATGACTAGATGGGCATAGCGCGCCCCCCCTCACGCGAAACCCAGCCACCCCCTGCACCACTTGACTCTTTCCGTCCATCCGTCTTGTCACTCTGGAGTCTGTTGTTGTCTGGAGTAAGAGACGGCAGGAGGGGAACCGAAACGGAGAGCTAAACGCCATAACATAGGTAATAACGGTTGAGAGCACTGAGAGCTAGTTATAAAGCCCGGAGTTTGGCGCACCTTTTCAGCTTTTGTTATTGACGCCTCGTGCAACACGCGCGACACCTTTGTTGGCCGAGGGCCTTTGTTCCCTTCTTAAACACCTAGATTGTGTCGAGCAAGGCATTGTCCGCGTCTTTGCAACCACAAAGAAGAGTCTGGTGGCAGGAAACGCAGTTGACAGGACAGCAAGCCACGGGAACGCCCTGTGCCGCAGAGGTGCCGTGATGGTGTCTTCGATAGCCAAGTCTTCTTTTTTCAGATGGCTGGCTCTGCCGTAAAGAGTGCCCAGCTCGCTCGGCCGGCCCGGGGTAGCTTAACTCTGTAGCTAGCTGGCGCTGCACAGCCCGGTTTGTGCTCTTCCTTCATCGATATTTGGGGGCCAGTAGGCCAATCAGTCAGAGACATACGCGGCAAAGTCAGTGAGTTGATGAGCACCACGGACTCCCGTGTTGCGTGCATCAGGCTGCAGGAAGTGTCAGCAAAACGACATTCGGATACGTTAGAGTGAGAAGTACGATGAGAGCAGGATAGTGCCCGAAGACCGCTGACAACAAGTCGGAGAGAAGAAAAAGACTGCAACCAAAACATGACCGAGCCTTCCGAGCTACGGCGGGACGACTCCCCTAGGAGATTCCACCATTCAGGCTCCTATGGATACGGTGCTCCGTACAGAACACGGAACCCAATAGAGGAGGGGAGCCACAACCTAAACCTGAAGATGCAGCAACCCTTGTCCCGCCCTCGATCAGGGACCGGACTGCTTTTCGCAGCTCGCTAGAGGGGAAACGCTGGTCAAGCTGGAACCCCGGACCCAGTTTCTGACCCAGCCGGTGGCCACTGGTCCGTCGAGTTGACGAGGAGCCCGTCGTTCCCGCAGCGCTTCCCTTGCTTTCAGCGTAGCAGGGCCCCGGTGATCGTTAGTGTTTCCCCTCTTGGGCCCGTCGACAGTGTGTGTTGTCACTGTGGTTAGGGCCAAGTTTGTGTCCGTCGTCGAGTGTTGTGCTGTGCTCAGATGTGAAAGTAGTGGAAGTGGTGGTGCCGTGGATGATGGATGGAGGATGGGGGGGATGCAGGCGCTGCTTAGCCGTTTGCTGGGGCTGGCGCTTCTGCATCGGCAGGTCAGGACAGGCCGGAAAATGTACTTGTGCACACACTCCGAAAGTGGTGGCATCAGAGGTATCACCCCTGGGTCGTACCATCCCATCGATCCATCGCCCGTCCTTGGCCGGGTGTCTTACCGCGCATTTCTTGCTTTTTCGCCCTGTCGATTTCTCCCAATTGCCCATGGCCCATCGGCGCTGCCATCCAAATTCAGTCCCATCATCAATTCTCCGTTTCCCTCATCTTGTCTCCTTCTCACCACCTTTCCTCCCTTCCGCTTCCTTTTCCTGTTCGTCACCTTCACTTTCGCCAAATACCCGACACATTTCAACAAACCACGACCAAACCGGCCACCGTCTCCCCGTCTCCTTTTCCTCTCCTCTTCCATTCCCTCCTCCACCTCTCCACACACTCGCTTCGTCAAGGAGGAGCCCCGAACCTCATTACCCGTGCCGACCGATATCGTCAAGCTTCAGACTCCGAGGTCGTCTCTCGATTATCGTCACTAGCTTGCACTACCTCGCCCCTAGCCGACCGACGTACAAACGACGAAGGATCCAAATCAAAGTCCACTGAAACGCCGCTTCCACGACCCGTCCCACGTATAGGAGAATCTCGCTTCCTCCAAATATCTACGCCCCATACTCAGAAACCCGAGCCGACCGAACGCTGGTGACAAACACCCGCAGTCGTTCGAATCCACGCCTCCACGCTTCCTCGACGTGACGAACCGAACCTCGAAAGTATCAGAAGGAATTGCATACGCACGGAATCTCTCCCGGAAAATTTTAGAACTTGGCTTTCCTGCATCCAGACGCACATTACGACGTTTTGAAGCAATCTGTGCGGCAGAACCTGGGACGGCAGCTGGACCTGGCTCAACCTCGACCGACTTGGGACGAAAATCACAGGCTGACGTGCATATCCGCCAACGGGCATTGCTCACAACTCGGGATTTTTTTTGCCGCGACCAAATTCAATCTACGAATTCACTGCTGCCAACTGTGCATCGCATTCCTCTCCGGCCGCCAATCTTCTGGGCTTGACTCGCTGGATTGTGGCTCAATTTCGCACTCGTGCCACCCAACGTGTCTTGGACCACCGCAATAAGGAGAGAATACCTACCATCGATCGCTTCCAACGTCTCCGCATTCCAACGACTTGTTTTGGCCGCAACGGCTGACAAGCTGCCTACTTCTCTCCGAGTTCCTTCTCCTTTTTTCATCTTCATCGCTCCATCTCTTCCTTTTCCCTCCAACGACTCGCCAACACCGTCAAGATGTGTAAGTGGCAATCGAGCAAACCTGGACGATAACGCCCTTAGCTAAACATAATGCAGCTGGCCTTTCAACAACGATTATGCCCTTTGCGCAGTTGCCCGCGTGCGCTGTGAACTGTGGCCCCCTCTACGACGCCAATGGCGCCTGTGTTCCTCCTGCCGTCGCGGCGGCTGATGCCAACACCTACGACAGATGTTTCTGTAGCCAAGGCGCTCTGCAAGCCTTCTCAACAGCTGCCGGCGGTGTCTGCCCTGCTGCTGGTTGCGACGACGCTGGCTTCAGCAGTATCCAGGGATGGTACACTTCATTCTGTAACTCCGTCACTGGCGGCGCTGCCACTGCATCTTCGTCCTCAGCAGGATCTTCCTCAACAAGCGGAGCTTCAAAAGGATCCTCCAACAGTGGAAATGGCGGCGATTGGTGAGACTATTCTACAACCTTGCATTCCCGGCTATCACTAACACGTATGATCTAGGCTCTCCAACCACTGGAGATGGGTTGTCATGCTTGTCATCCTCGTTGTCGCCATCGCTGGCATTTGGGTTGGCGCCTGCATCTGGCGCCGACGCTACCTCCGCCGCAAGGATCGCATGTACGAGCTCGGCAAGCACGCACACAAGGGACCTAGCGGCATCATCGCCGGTTCTGGTGTCAATGTCAACCAAGCTGGTATCGTCAACTCTCCCGGCCAATTCATGCCCGGCCCGCCACCGGCCGTATACGACGAGAAGCCCCCTAAGGAGAAGAAGAAGTGGGTTGTCAGCGAGCGGACGTAGAAGTGCGACTTCGGTAGACATGTTTGTGCGGCATCACTCTTCATCACTATCTCTCCACGGCTTAACGAGACGGCGTTACATATTTCACGGCATTGGTGTTTGGACATTCATACATACTTGTTCCCAGGCAATACTTGTTGCTCATTTCTTTTCCTTTGGTCATTGATTAGGCGTACGGCTGAAAACAACGGAGGATTCTGTCGTCGGACACAAGCAGCATTGGTGGTCCTGGTTCTTGACGGTGAAACCACGCAATCAAAAAGGGCGGGTTTGAAAGGGTGGAAACAGGCCGATGGCAGGAGGCTCACAGTCTCACAGCTGCGTAACAGAAGCGGCCTGTATTCCTTGGACCTCGGGAGGAATGTTCTTTGAGGACAGGCCTGGAAAGCGGGAGGACTCGTGTGGTCAGCTTAGCATCCAAAACCAAATGGTAATTTCTTTATACCTGTTCACAACCACAGCCACTGAAACGCTTCACATCAAGGGCAGCATCAATGTTTCGTTTTGCAACTGTAACTGACTCGATGCCGATATTTCCTGGTTTCTGTGCGTGTTTTCTTTTCTCAATACCTTGCGAGTTACCAGAGGGTGTTGTCCACATTCATGAGGCTTGTCTGAGCGGGTCGATCAAACAGTGTGCCATATGGGCGCAGAGGTCCTGGTACCTGCATGATGTATCGCAGGCATCGCGGTGGATTTTTCGATGGTCCTTCTTCATAATTGGTTCGAGCTTGTGTGCGGGACGAGTATCGTTTATGCTCCGCTGCAACTTCACTTCTTGGAAGAATTCGGCGTCCGCCATGTTGGAGCTCTGCTCTTCAATTGATGGGCCTAATTACTGCTGCCAATTGTCATTCAAGATGATCAGACTCTACAGGTAGGTTGGACGAGATACGTTGAAGGATACAGCCCCCTCCGCAACGAAGGATGGCAAAAAGAGGCGAGGACGCAAGGATGAGATCTCTTTGTTTCAGCAGTATGCTTACATTCTTTCGTTCCATATCTTGCCTGTATGACGTGCCCAACATTTCGAGTTGATATCTTAATCAGATCAAGGTTGTGGAAGAGGGTTTACAGCGTACATGGTGCTCCAGGTTGCGAAGGTCCTTGTGATGGTATATCAACCTACAGGTTCCTGTCAGCCACTTCCTGAAGTGTAAGTATCCTGACTTTCGTCCGAAAAACAAGTGAATACGGACAGGTAAGTTTCCACATCTGTTAAAGGTTCCAGCCGGATACATGATCTGCGAATGAAAGTCTTCGGCCATGATCATGTAACAGGATGCTTTTCGTGTACACCATAGGTATCAATTGAGACATCTTCACTCAGTCACGGGCGTGGACAATCATCCGACGGCTGCCGGCACGCGAGCTCAAACTAGAGAGGGCGCCCTTCATTCGTGCACCTATGAAAGGTACTGAGGCTGGCATGAGGGTTATCACACGCCATCAGCAAGTCCATCTGAGCACTAGATGTGCACTCAACATGGAAGTCTAATCAACTCCGATTATCAAATAAACCCCGACCGACGGGACTTCCCCAAGCTCACCAGCTCTCAGCTACCAGCGCACAGACACTGACAGCCATCCGCATGTCTTTGAAATACAAGACAATGACATCCCAAGAGATCTCTGACTTCCCTCGTCTACTCGTACATAAGTACACAGGTTAGCAAGCTGACTCTATCGAAATCCTTCCTACAATCACTCTACCACATCCCTCTTCTGCAACCATGGCCGATGAACCAACTCCCAACCTCCCAGCCCACCGCATCCCCACAGACAGAGACACAAACTCCCCATTCTGGACCGAGACTTTCCCCCCTCTCGAGGAACATACAAAGAGGCTCTTTATAGAATACGCCAATATTCCAGAGGATAAGCTCCAAGAGCATCTTGAAGAAGCAGTATGGGTCCCTTTTCTACCTCTCAAACTCACACACTCACACTCACATTCCCTCTCTTGTCCTTCTCTCCGTCGAACTTCCTAGGACCCCACCTCCTTAGCATCGTCAACGTAGCACTAACACACAACCTTTCTCTCTCTCTCTCTCTCTCCTCAGCGCAGAAAGGCATGGAACGACTGTCCCTACCCATGCATAGGCCTCTGGCTCTTCCTCAAGCTCCAACTCCGCAACAATAAGGAATTCGACGAAGCCGTACGGCGTACGCAACAAGGCGAGAATCTCCTCGACTTTGGATGCGCCATTGGTCAGGATCTACGAAGTCTGGTGCGTCCATTCTTTCCCTTCCCTTTCTTTCTCCTTCTCCCTCCCTCCTGACTGGCATCTCACGTTCCACGCAACTTCACCACCAACTGCCAAGAAAGCCTTCAACACGTAATACCATGAAAATCACCTCAGCTAGCATTCATTCAACTTACATCCCCCCAGGTCCACGCAGGCTCCCCCCCACAAACCCTCCACGGCATAGACCTAACCCCCAACTTCTTCCCCGCCGGCAAACACCTCTTCAACGACCCTCACACCCCAATAGCCTTCCTCCAAGCAAACGCCCTCTCCCCGCCCTCAACCCTCCCGCCCACCTGGCGTAACAACTTCACAATCATCACCGCAAACTACGTCCAGCACTGCTTCAACCTACAAGACCCAAAAACCTACGCCGCCTTCCTCTTGGCATTACTCTCGGGAAACCCAAACGATCTAATCTTCGGCCGCACGGCGGGCACGACGGAGGGCGAGGCGCGGAGGGAGGAGATGCACAAGGGTCAGAGGCTATATCGGCACACGGAAGCGAGTTTTGTCGAGTTCTGGACGAGGGTGGCGGCGCAACATGGGAGGAGGGCGAGGGTTGAGACGTGGGTTGATGAGATGCCTGCTTTTGAGCTTAAAGGCGAGGGGATGGAGAGATTTGAACCTGTGAAGAATCTCATGTATTCGATCCGGTTTGAGTGATGTGTGGTTAGTGAGTGGGGGAAGTCAGCGAAGACTTTAGAGAGCGCGGAGGAAGAGCCGATAGCATCTCGTGTGCTGCAATGACGTGACATTTACGAGTGTGACATAATCGAGGAGGACGCAATTCAGGTGAACCATTCTAGGTTATTAATGCAGTCTATCTATATACCATTAAACGCGTGTCGTGTTCGGATCCAAAAATCAACAAAGTTCAAACTGCTTTTGATCGGGCCCAGGGTGTCTTCTCTGCATCATCCGCGTGGAAACTCTCAAAGCGCCTTACTAATTTAAATACGGTCCCCAGTAGGAGTTATTAGTTTTCGCAACGTCGAATCATTTACTTGGTCCTTACAGGTAAGGCGATTTTGGCTTTGTCGCTTTGCTCCTCAGCCGCATCCATGTACAAGTCAATCAGACAACCGGCAGACCACGCCTGTGTGGGGCACTGTGGTTTGTTAGCAAGCAAGCCATTGTCTACAATGGGAAACAACTTACAGAGTCGGGGCAATCTTCGCCATCCTTCTGCGTCAGTTCCGCGAGCCCGGCCCAAACGCTTTCCCGGATCATCTGCTTGCAGCCCATAAGTCTCCGCGTGACTTGCTGGAAGGCCTCGATACGTCCAGCCTGGTCACCTCTTCTGGCGAGGTCAAACTTGAGCAAGGCACGGAGGAAGAAACCAGTAGGCCAGAGCCATTCCGGGCCCTGGTGGTAGTTTCGTCCCTTGCTGGTGGCGAAATCCTCACTGTCTTCGCTGTTGCGGTAGTAAGGCCTGTAGTTAAGATCGGCGGGGTCGAGAGTTGCCATGCCTGTAGGCCCACGGATGGATTTGTCGGCAACCAAGAGGGCGTGCAGTGCATGCGCGGGGTCGAAGAGCTCGGGTGCCGCGCACATGGCGATGGGGAAGTTGGCACGCAGCTGGTAGTCCTCGTACTCCTTGCCAGACTTATACAAGTCCTTGTAGATACCACGGCGATTAATGACCTGAGGGTTGACGTCGTACTTGGCGTCTTCCTCAGAAGAAAGAGGAACCCAGTAGCATCGCTCAAAGTTGTCGCGAATCAGGTTGGCCCACTCTCTGTGAGAAATTGTCGACTCGTCTGCCTTCTTCACGGACGAATACTGGTACTTGCCTTGCTGGTTGAGCGACGCCACCCACCTCAGAGTGCTGTATAGGAGACCAGTGATCTCAATGGCAGCGCCGTCACGGGGTGTGCCGGGAACACCCTTTGAGCCAGCCTTTTCGCTTTCGCCCATCTTGTCCATCCATGTACCGCAGTTGTTCTGGTTACCACCAAAGATGATGCCAGTGTCCCAGTCAGTCTTGATGGAAATGTTAAAGCCATTGTCACTCATCTGCGAGTCGATCGAGGGACCAGCATTGGCCTCACGGAAGGACATGCCAGATGCGTGTCTCTGCAGCGCTTCCTGGATAATATCCTCGATGGTGCTCTCCTGGGAATAGGTGCGGGAGTCATCGACATCGAACCAGGTGTCGTCGTAAGGCAGGAAGCGTCTCTTGACCTTCTCCTGGAGCAGGTCTAGTCCATTGGGTGCGAACTTGGTGTAGTCTTGGATGCACTGAAGGAAGAACCAGATGGAGTCGCGAGAGTTGTAACGCGGCAAAGCTCCGCTGCTGAGCAGGTTGGGAATCATGCCGTGCTTCAGGACGCTGGCAAAGGCAAGGATGTGCTCCTTTGCTTCGTCGAAACGGCCGGTGCCAAGGTAGAGACCACGCAAGGAGATGAAGACATCACGTCCCCAGCATCTCGCCCACTCAACGGCAAAATGAGGCAGACCGGCAGCCAACGATGGGACCTGCTTCTTGGGCCACAAAGAGCCAGATTTGACCAGACCAGTCTCTTGCACGCTGACCATGGCGAGACTTTGGAGGAACCATTGTCCTTCGCGAACGTTGTCGTTCATGAGTTCAAGTCCACGATCCCAAGAGGCAGTGTACAAGGTGCGCAGAACGAGGCCAAAGTATCTCGGCAGCAAGAAGCTGGGGATCTTGCGAATAGCATCAAACCGCTCTTTGAGCCAGACGGCGGGTTTCTCAAGGTTCTCAAAGTCGGGAGTCTTGCTGATGCGCTCCAGGCGTCCGACAATGTAATCCAGAGCCCATTGGCCGTCACGGAGATTCTGGCACAGAGGATGAGCAAGGTTGTTGTCCCGGATGATATCCTTCAGAAGACTCCACCATCCCTGAAGACCGGCATAAACGAGCTTGCCGTAGCCGGGAATCTCGTAGCAGCCATCGTTGCCACCGCTTCCATCACGTTCCTCGGCCTCACATCGGTAAAGCAGGAAGTTGAGATCCACCAGGTTCAGGTCCTCAACCGCGGACCTAGCACCCGAAGTGACGTAGTTGTCGAGACCAGATGAGTGCTCAGCTGCCGGGATCCATGTCTCGAAAAGAGCAATGCTACCAGGAGGGAACTTGTCGCGCACAGTAATAATGGTATCGTCGCCCTTGACCTCCATGCGAACGCCGGGGACATCCACCACGCGGCTAGGCAGGCCGCGCAGCAGTTTCTTGTCGTCCAGGGCCTCCTTGCGAGCCTCGTCGCTTGCATCCACCTCAAGCATCCAGCTGCCAAGATGACGGGCTTTGGTACCTCCAAGGTGTACCGCGTTGAAAGCGCCATTGCCGTTGCCGTAGCCAGGGAAAGCAGTGTGGGCAATCAGGAAGTATCCCTTTCTCGACTCAGGGTGTACTCTGTGAACAGTGATGTACTGATCCTCATGGTGAATGTGAGTCTCATCGTATCCGTCCTTGCCCATGAGGGTGTGGATCTGGTTCAAGAGCTTCTTGATGCCACCAATACCGTTTCCGCCGCCACCAATCTTAACAGGCTTGGAGGATGACTCAGACGTGTACAGCCTGGTCTCGTTGACGAGGTCAACAAGTTTGGGATAGATCTCATCATAACCCATGACACTGCCAGTTGCACTGGCGCACATATTGACCAGAGCAGCGTTCGGCAGGGTATCGCGAGCATCACGCTTCTGAGCCGGGGTCTCGTTGTCGTGAGTGCAGTCCATGAAGAGGGCCTGAACTGGTACAGGCTTGATCCTCCGGATGATCTCTCGCGAAGACGGGCTGCTCCCGTTGAGCAGGTCGCTGCCTTCGTTGGCCGGGCTCATGGGGCTCATTGGAGACTTGGGGTCTGCCTTTGAAATCTCGTCGACTTCGAAGCTTCCGATGGGACGACCGCCGTGCTTATGGACCAGGCGACTGAGCTCTCCAGTGCTCCATGCTTGCATGGCCTCACGGATCAAAGCACTCAGGCCCAGCCTCTTCACGAAGACGTAGTCCATCTCCTCGGAGCCAGAGAACAACTCTGCCACGACATACAAATCCGGTCGGACTCGGCGTGCCTCGTCCAGAATGTGCTCGGCCACATGGATTGGCGTAGAGTGGCAGTTGTCAATGCGGAAACCGGCAAAGTACTTGGCGAGCATACGGGCATACTTGGTCATGAACTCCCACAGGAAAGGACTGTCTGAGGGGCCCTTGCCGTAGCGGAGCTTGACGCAGTCGCCCCAGACAATGACCTCGCGCCTCAGGTATACGCGAGAATCCGGGCCGGCGTTGTCGACCAGGGCGTTGCCGCCCCAAACCCAGCCATTGTTGACCAAGACATTCTCCTCAGGCTTGTTCTTGGCCGTTGTGTCGTTCTTGGGCAGACGAGTGAAGTAGGTCTCGATGAGAGGGAACTCCTTGTTGATGGGGCCCATGCGCGGGCCATGCTCATCAAGTCGGCAGTATTTAATACGGTTGAACAGCTGCTGCAGGATCTCGCTGAGCTCGTTGTCGTACTCTTTGTAGAACGGCAGGTTGATCTCGTCGAGAATAGACACCAACTTTGACTTGGCTGACGCCTTTGTCGGGCCGCTACCCTCTTCACCCTCGTATCGTCCAAAGATGGTCGACAGAAGTCCAGAAGCCACCTTGGGATTGACCTTCCTCCTGAACCTCTCGCCCATGCGGTCACCGGCCTGAAGACCGTTCTTGATGAGGAAGTCCGCCTGGTCTTTGAGAGACGCGTCTTTCAGTCCCGTCACATTTGCGTCGCCAGTGGTGTCTTGCGGCAGGGTGGTGCTGCCGGCAATCCAAGCCTCCAAGCCCGCCTCAACGTCGCGCTCGACGTCAATGGCGTAGTATTCCCAGAGGCGAATCTCAGAGATCACCTGCTTCTTGATGGCGTCCATAATCTTGATGAGGTCATCGTCGCTCTTCACCTCGGTGGGAAGTCCAAGCTTCTCAAGGTTCTCGCTAAGCTCCAGCAGCTTTGAGTCCAGCAGCCACGCCGACTCTAGCCAAGGTGCCGTGACCAAGTTGTATCCGGCATCCGGATGATCTTGTAGCCATGCGGTGTTGTGTGCCGTGTGATTAAGGACAATATCGGTTAAACTAAGGAGGGAATACTGCTTTTCTAAGCTCTCCACCAAGCCCTTAATGTCTTTCTCGCCGGCAGGGAAGCATTCGGGATCCCAGCCCAATTGATCATACAAGCTGTATGGGGAATTGGAAGCACCGCGAACCTGCAGCGGGGTGAAGTGAATCATGTTGTAACCGCGATCGCTAATACCGCGAAGATGCTTTTCCCAGTCGCCTGGGTATTTGCCCATAAACTTGCTAATGACTGAGAAGATGGACAGAGCGGGCAATGGCAGCGGGCGGCCATCGAGACTGAGACGCGGGGCGACATCGATGTAGTAGAGGGGCGTCTTTTTATTGGTGGCGCCGGTCTGAGGAGTTGAGTCGAGCTCCTCTTCAAGCTCTGGCAGCTCGGCATAGGTGGTGTAGAAGGCGTAGGCGCCGGCCTGGAAAATGGGGATGGAGATTTCAATTGTCCGATTGAAGTCGGGCTTCAGTCTAGAAAACGCATCAGTCGCGAGCTACACACACGAACACACGCCAGAATCTGGACAATGACAATGAGGAGCAGTGGAAGTCGCAGAGGAAGCTTACTTGAACTCGCGAAACTGGTCCCTGTGAAACTCGGCGCCCTGCTCTGGGATGTTGACCCACAGACTGCCATGGCGACAGATGGACGAGGTACCCTCGATTGCAAAGCGAATTGTTACAGGATCGTTTGTCTTTGGAGCGAGATAGATGTATTCGCCGGCGA